CGAGTCCGATATGCGGAGCTGATATCCCCATCTTTTCCCCGACTTAGGTGCTTCTTTTCTATGTCCATTCGAGGACGAACAATTGTTTTAAAGGTGGAGGATGTGATGACCCAAAAGATTATCAATTGATTTAAAAGTCAATTCGGTGTTCCGAGGCCCTAAAAATCTCCTTTTATCTTACCTTGATTTTCATGTGCGGTCCGGGCGTATATCCGGAACTCTTTTATGTGAAAATTTGATAAAATGCTAATTTTGCCTTTAAAATTGAATTTAAGTTGACTTCGGTCAATATTTTGGGTAAACGGACCCGGACCCGTGATTTCACGGTCCCGGAGGGTCCGTAGGAAAATATGGGACTTGGACGTAAGCCCGGAATCGAATTCCGATGTCCCAAGCCAGAGAAATGAATTTTTGAACGAAATTGTTTAACTAAAATTGTAAGAGATTTTGGAAATTTAAATGTGTTTGAATTTGATGGTATCGGGCCCGTATTTTGGTTCCAGAGCTCGGCACAGATCTTATATGGTATTTACGTTGTGTCTATAAAATTTGGTAAGAAACGGAATTCATATGACGTGAATCGGACCCTCGGTTGTGAAATTTGAAATTTTTCTTTAATTTTGATGCTAAACTTGAAGTTCTAGGTGTTATTTTGGTAATTTGATAGCACGAGTAAGTCCGTATGATATTTTTAGGTTAGTGTGCATGTTTGGTTTGGAGTACCGAGGGCTCAGGTGAGTTTCGAGTGGGGTTCGGGATGTTTTGGACTTAGAATTTCTGTTGTCATAGCTGTTGCAGGTGCACAATGATTTTGTTCTTCGCGTTCGCGTGACTTCACTGCGAACACGTAAGGCAAATTTCCTCAAGGGTTACTTTGTTCTTCGCGAAGGCGGAGCTCAGGACGCGAACGCGAAACTTTGGTGGGTTACCCTTCGGGAACGCGTTCTGGCCCACGCAAATGCATAGAGTTAGTGGTCCTGGGGGAGGGAGCTCGATTTTCTATGCGAACGCGGCCCTTTGACTACGAACGCGAAGGCTTGAGGAGTTAAAGATCAGTGAACGTAGGCCATCCAATGCGAACGCGAAGGTCATTTGGGCCTGACCCATCACGAACACGGCAGGCCCATCGCGAACGCGATGAAGGCCTGCCCAGTCTTTAAACATATTTAAAAGCGGGCAGAACACATTTTCTTCAAATTTTCGAACTACCAAGACCTAGAGGTGATTTTCTTTACCTAAATTCATCCTCAAAGTGTCGGTAATCAATTCTAAACTCTACTTTTTCAATTACCTAACGTTTTTCATCACTTTTAAACCAAAAATCAAGAATTTTCATGATAGAAATTGAAAATTTGGGTAGATTTAGGGATTTTTGAATAATTGAAATTTAGACCTCATTTTGGAGTCGGATTTCGAAACTAATTGTATATTCGGGCTCGTGACTGAATGGTGATCAGGCTTTGGTCCGAACCTCGAGTTTTGACCCAGCAGACCCGGGGTCGATTTTTGACTTTTTGGGAAAAACGATAGTAAACCTATAATTTAGCATTTATTGATGTTGTTAAATTAATTTGGGTTATATACAAGTAAATTGGAGGCAAAATCTAAAGGAAAAGCGATGCTTGAGGTTTGAGTTTGGCCGTGGAAGTTGATCTAAGTGTTTGGCGTAAGCTTAGCTTGAGGGAATAGGTGTTGTGTCTTAATTGTTGTGTGTTAGTGTCGAGTACGACGTATAGGTGAGGTGACGAGTCTCTATACGTTGGTGTCAAGCATGCCCGTGAGTTTTATATTCGGACTTGTTGTGATTTTACTATGTATTGATCATGCTTAACTTGATGGTTAGCAATTGTGGTACAAGATTTATGATGAATTCTTAGTAATTGGCCATTGTAAAGTATTGGCTCATGTTGAGGCCTATTTTGTGAATTAACTGTGAAAACTGGATTGGTTGTAGTTGATTCCCTTGCCAGTATATTTTTTTTGTTAGCATATTGTTTCCCTTGCCGGGATGTTATTGCTTGTGATATTATTTTCCTTGCCGGGATATTGTTGTTATATACTCCCTCCGTTTCATATTGTTTGAGGTAGTTTGACTCGGCACGGAGTTTAAGAAAAAAGAAGAAGTCTTTTAAAACTTGTGGTCTTAAAAGATTAAGGGGTAAAAGGTTTGTGAGGTCATACCATTTGTGTGACTATAAAAGCTTCTCACTAAGGGCAAAAAGGGTAAAATGAAGAGTTTAAAGTTGAATTATTTCCAAATTAGAAATGTGTGATTTATTTTGGAACAGACTAAAAAGGAAAGTATCTCAAACAATATGAAACAGAGGGAGTAATTGTTCCCTTACCGGGATTCTTTTGTGATTGGTGTTGATTTGTATATTGGGATCGGGTTGCGCGTCTCAACAATATTATATGGGATCGGGTTGCATGCTGCAACAAGGAGTAATAAGGAAGGACAGGTGGAGTCGGGTTGCACGCCGCAACAATATTATATGATTTGGATTGGGTTGCACGCCACAACAATATTATATAATTTGGATCGGATTGCGCACCACAACAATAAAGAATAAAAGTGGATATTGATTCGTTACTGTTTTTCTTATTCTTGTTGATACGAAATTTAATATGTTTTTTATGCTTTTCTACTGAAATTCTGTTGGTACTTGATATTCCCCCAGCATGTTCCCCCTTCCCATCTTTAATTGCTAGTTTCCGTTATTATTATTTGTCGTATATGTTTAAATTGCACAGGTTTATTTGGTAGTCTTGTCCTAGCCTCGTCACTACTTCGCCGAGGATAGGCTCAATACTTATCAGCACATGGGATCGATTGTGCTGATACTATACTCTGCACTGTTTGCAGATCTTGGTACTGGAACTTTTGGACCATAGCGAGGTTGCTGCCTTCATTCCAGCGGAGACCCGAGGTAATCTTGCAGATGTCCACAGATCTTGGCGTCCCCTTCTATCCTTTCTATTCTATTTTTATTTATTTGAGAGGCAGACTTGTATTTTCTATTCAGACCACTATTTGTAGTATTCGTAGATGGTCTGTAACATTGTGACACCAGTGCTGGATAGAGTTGCATCTTGGATTTTCGTACTAGTATTTAGTTAAATTATCAAATTTCGTCTTCCGCATTTCTTTTATTATTATTCCGTTGTTGATCACATATTAATTTGAAATTGTTAAAAGGTTAAGGAAAAAGGGTAATAAAAATTCATATCACTCGGCTTGCCTAGCTTTCACAAGTAGGCGCCATCACGACTCCCGATTGTGGAAAATCCGGGTCGTGACAATAATGAATTGTATGAAAGTATGTATCATGATTTATATGAAAGTTATACGATATTGTATCAAAATTTTATGAACTTGTAATGAACACATGTTGCATCTGTTTCTATATTGTATAAAATTACTTTTTTCAGCTCGATTGAATTTGTCTACTGCTTTTGAATTTATTTATGTTGCAATATTTTAAAACTATATCAGGTTTTTTTTTTTTTTACGATGCTCGCATCAAATTGATTATTATTTTTGGATATAGTTTCGTTCCAGCTTAAAAGCATTGAGATGAACTTCAATGGTCGTTAGTGACAAAATATATATAGCTTAGCTTGTGAGAGAGAATTATAACAATTTATAGCTTAGCTTGTTAATCGTGAATATTAATGCAAAATACAGTTTGCTTTTATGATTAGCAAGTTATAACTGAATTTGTGGATTTTTGATAATATACAGTTATCATCAATGGTAGATTTCTGAAAAATTGTGAGTTAAAAGGGGACCCTTGTCATTTTGTAACGTAGATGAATATTCAATACATTACAACATTCTCTGCTTTTCTTGTCCAAAGGTATTCAATAATTACTCTACAGATCTATTGCTTGTTCATTGATTGTTCACTTATTGTTATTCATTTATTGCCCATTATTAACCGCAAAAGGCTATCTTCGAGGCCTTTGATATCATTATTTCTTCATCAATCGTTCATTGCTAACTGCCCTAACTGGACCTCGAGGCCCTCTGTTCCAGCCAGCTCGAGGCCCAGTCTTGCGACAACATTGGTTTAATTTGCATATCTTATTCTCTTTATTTATACTTAGCATCTATTGCCTAACAACTAGTATTGAAATAAATCACATATTTTTAGAACCACAAAATCAAATATAATTGTTAATACCATTTTCAAAGTAAACACCAATTTGATTGAGTTAGCCATTAAGTTGGGTTCAATCAAATGAGCTCATCCATATGGTCCAAGCCTAAGGGTCAGTTAGCCTTATTAGAAGATTACCCTAAGGGTCAGTTAGCCTTATTAGAAGATTACCCCAAACTCTAGTTCGTACCTATATAAAAGATCACATTCACTTTGATAGCAACATGTACAAGTCATAACTAGAAGAAGTAAAAAACTTCAAGAATTCTCTACGGGCTAAAGGTGTTCAAGCATTCAAGATTAAAAAGCAAGATTATCAAGGTTTGTTGTGGAAGATAACTGCTCCTTTAATTTCCTCCTTAATCAAAGGTCTTGATTTGTGAGTCTTGAGTATAGACTTGCTTTTAATAGGAATTTTCCCCCTCCCCCTCCCCCTCCCTCCACCACTACCTCACCACCACCAAAAGCGGTGCTTTTCAAAAAAATTAAACGACATAGAGTGAAAAACTATTTAAAAAGTTTAAAAAAATCAAATCAAATATCAAGCCCTTGAAGCAATTGTTGAATTAATAGAAGAATCAAAGGTTATTTCCTCTAAGCTACGAGAAATTACAGATTGTACTACAAATTATACTTAAAATTTACATTTCTACAATTTCTTCTTGTCTTTGATTGCGGAGACACGAAAATTTTTGTTATACAATTTGCTTCGTGAAACGTACACTTAATCAGTTCACCTGCAATACACGTACGTCAACATAGAACTCAAAGTAGCTGTAGCAAAAATTATTCGTAGTTTAACATAGATTCTACATGATAAAACCATGTGAAGATGATGAGTCAATTGGACGCTGTAGCCTTTACATTCAGCAAACCCACTCCACCTTTAATAAGACGAATTACGCTATCATAATCCTCTAATGATGAAGATGAAGATGAAGATGAAGATGAGTCTGCAACTATGAGTTTATCTCCTAAAGCATGAGAAAACTTCAAAGTTCCAATACTTTTGCTCTGATCTAAATCATTTCCGAGCACTGGAAAAGTACATATTCCTTTATAACGAGGAGCTAGAGAAAGGTCCAGCTCACCAACATACTTATCATGTGAGAAAGTCCTTTTGCAGAAAAGCTCAATTTTGCAATACATATGCCCTTGTATGATGTCTTTCTCAGGCACAATGAAGCAAAGCGTCGTATTCCACTTAGGATTTGTGTCGTTCATAGTATCTACTTCGGTGCACTTGGTCGTTCCTGCTACTGAAACCTTTGCATAAACTTTCATTCTACCAAATTCACGAACATCTGGGAGGTCACTAGCAGAATGGACTGTAAAATTAAAATATCTGGCCTCCATATGACTGCTTCTTTTTAATGATCTTAATGTTGCATGAAAAATTAACTGACCTTAATAATTTAGGGCGCTTATGTTAAACTCCACGCCCACAAGATCTGGATTCTAGAGAAATGATAATATGTTGAATAGTCAATGTGGAAAATTAATGTATGTGGATGAAGGAGCGGAGCCAGCCAATCGGGTACGGGTTCGGCTGAACTAGTCGCTTTGGTCCAATCTATGTATTGTTTTAATAAAATTTATTGAATATGTAAAAATTATTAATTTAGAATTCAGTAAATTAAATTAACTAGAACCTCCAACCCATAAGTGTTAGATTAAACCGAGGGGAGAGAACAACGAATTGTGTACCTTATTGATGCACGGGAAACCGTTGAACTCACCACCAAAAGAATTGCCCCAAATTGTATTCTAAATTTCCAGAAAATAGAGTTTTTGTTCACAAACTAAATGCCTAAAATTCACTATGTTCTTCCTTTTCAATTTTTTTTTGCCTTTTAGAATCTCTGTATTGAAGAGAAGTATATAGAGATGGGGAGATGGGGAGAACTACCGATGATGTAACGACCCGACCGACCGTTTTGAGCTTTTGCACTTTGCTCGCCAGTCCTCAGGCATGACTTGCCACATGTGATGTATTATGACTTATGTAAATCGTTGGTCTTGGTTTCAGGGTAATCGAAATGAATTTGGAAGAACAGTTCTCAGTTTGAAGCTTGAAATTTGAAATGTTTGACCAAGATTTGACTTGTTTGTATATGATCTCGGATCGGAATTTTTATGATTTGGTTAGCTCCGCTAGGTGATTTGGGACTCAGGAGCATGATTGAAATGCATTTTGGAGGTCCGTGGAAGGTTTAGGCTTGAATTGGCGAAATCGAGATTTTGGTGTTTTTCGGTTGATAGGTGAGATTTTGATATAGGGGTTGGAATGGAATTTTGGAAGTTGCAGTAGCTCCGTTGTGTTATTTGTGACGTGTGTGCAAAATTTCAGGTCATTCGGACGAGGTTTGGTAGACTTTTCGATCGAAAGCAGAATTTGAAAGTTCTTGAAATTCTTAGGCTTGAATCCGATGAGATTCGATGTTTTAATGTTGTTTTGAGCGTTCTGAAGGTTGGAACAAGTTTGAATGGTGTTATGGGATATGTTGGCATGCTTTGTTGAGGTGCCAAGGGCCTCGGGTGAGTTTCGGGTGGTCAATTGGACCATTTCATGTTGTGAAAAAATGTAGAATTTCAGCTGTTGGTGTTGCACGTTTTTGACCTTCGCATTCGCGATGCATGTTCCGCGATCGCGAAAGTGTGAGGTCGATGGTCTTCGCGTTTGTGTTTTCTCTGTCGCGTTCGCAATGTTGTGATGTTTTGATTCTCCGCATTCGCGAGGGCTAGGTCGCGTTCGCATAGAGGAAGAGGATTAGCTGGGTCCCCCAATGCATTTGTTCTACGCATTCGCGTAGTAGAGGTCACGATCGCGAAGTGTTGAGTGTGTTGTGCATCGCGTACGCAAGAGGGGTCTCGCGTTCACGTAGAAGGAATTCCGGTCCGTGAAGCAGTGTGCTTCGTGAACACGAGGGATGTGTCATGTTCGCGATGAAGGAAAATCTGGGCAAACAATTTATATTTTTAAATCGAGGGTTTAAGTCCAATTTTATAAAAATCATTGGAGAGCACGGGAGAAGGTGCAATTTGAGGAGATTTTCAGTGGAGCTATTGGGGTAAGTATTCTTCACTCATATTTGGTTTAATTCTATGATTTGGTCTTGAATTTCATCATTTAATTTGAGAAATTAGAGTGAAAATTGGGGGAAAATGGAAGAAAAGTTTGAGATTTCTTTTGGGGATTTGTATGAGCAATTAAGGTAGGATTTTGATGAAACTAATATGGGTAGACTCGTGAGTGGATGAGGATTCTATTGATGTGATTTTTATTGGATTCCGAGACGTGGGCCCGGGGGCCGAGTTTGAGCAACTTCGGGATTTTTGATGTAAATTGGATATTTTCGAGTGGGTTTCGTTCCCTTAGCATATTTTAATGACTATGGACTAATTTTGGCTATTTGGAGCATCCGGAGGTCGATTCGTGCGGGCAAAGGCATCGCGGGCTAGACTTTGGACTGAATCGAGGTGAGTAATGATTGTAAATGTTGTCCCGAGGGTATGAAACCCCGGATTGCACATCGTTGTGCTATATTGAGGTGACGCACACGCTAGCTGACGAGCGTGGGGTCGTGCACTGTTGGGGATTGTGACTTAGTCCATCCCGAATGACTATTTTACTGCGTATTTGGTTGAAAACTATTTGCTATCATCATGTTTTGGGTTGAATGCCATATTTGGGCCTCGTGCCAACTATTTGAATCCTTCGGGGATTTTTATGGATATTTCCTCACTGTTTTGACTTCAAACTTGTACTCAGTCATGCTATATTCTACTATTTTCAAAACTCATCCATGTTTACTCTACTTTAGCACTTGAAATGATATTCTAAATAATATTTTGGGCTGAGCATCCTGTTTTACTGTTTCCCGAATGACTTATGTAATTTTTGACTGAGTAAGGCCGAGGGCCTATGTTGTGAGGATACTTTTGGGTCGGGTTGCACGCCGCAGCGGTGATACACTAATTTTGAGTATGAGGCCAAGGTCCTGAGATATGTAGGCCACGAGGTGGCTTGTTGATAAGAGGTCGAGGGCCTAGAGATGATGCCACGAGATGACTTGATATTGCGTTTGGGTCGTAAGGGGCCCCTCCAGGAGTCTGCACACCCCCAGTGAGCGCGGGTACCCATTGTGATGTGAGATATAGCCCGAGAGGCTGGTATTGTTCTGAAATATTGCCCGAGGGGCGGATTTGTTGACATTGTGCCCGAGAGGCGAACCTTTATGTGTTGATCTTTCTTATTGGCCTATCATTTACCTGTTTAATTGTGTATTTGTGTCGAGGGGCAGATTTTCTATGCTTATCTGTTCTAATTGCTTTACATTCAATTGCTTAACTGTTAAAAAGTCATTTTTAAAGGAGTTTAAACTGAGCTAAGGTGCTTTAAGAGATTTCACAGCTTCATTGCTTTCTCACTAGTTTTGTACTACTCGATACGACATGTTGATATACTTTACGTGTTTTCTTACTGCTCAACTTTCATTTACCTTTATTACTCACTGAGTTGGAGTACTCACTTTACTCCTTGCACCTTGTGTGCAAATTCAGGTATTTCTACACCCAGTAGCAGGTATTGGTTGAGTAGAGACATAGTCATTGGTGTTTAGCGAGGTAGCTGCCCGACGTCCGCAACACTACTTTACTCCCTTTTGATTTCATTAGACTATATTTAGTATATTTCCAGAATTCCGTTGTATTTTAGACCTTAGTAGATGCTCGTGACTTGTGACACCCTGATGTCAGGCTATATCTATTACGGTACTGTTCTTTTAAATTTACATCATGCAATATTTTATTAATTAAAAAGGCTTAAATTGATCTATTAAAATTATTGATATGGATTTGGGGATTGTGTCGACTGGCCTTGTCTTCACGAGAGGCGCCATCACGACCGGGTCTGGTTTGGGGTCGTGACAAGATTGTATCAGATCCTAGGTTATATAGGTCTCACGAGTCATGAGCAGGTTTAGTAGAGTCTCGTGGATCGGTACGGAGATGTTTGTATTTATCCTCGGGAGGCTGCAAAACCTTTAGGAAAAACTTCACATTCTTGAATTCTTATCGTGCGTCCTTGATTCAGCTTGAAAAGTAACTCTTTGAATTCCTTCCACACGTTCGTATGTGTGCATGAGCGCTCGATATCAGATGTGCATCGATGGCTTGTGGTTCCCTGATCGAGGGGCGAGATGTGATCTCTGTATGTTGATGTTGGGCCAGTCTGGAGGACTCGAGGCCGGATCTTTACCTATAGCTTGAGCACTGAGGTGCTGATTGTGTGAGCACGTGCTTTTGAACTTATATGTTCGGTAGTGTCCCTATTAGTGGAAGTGATGGCTGGGTAGCAACGTGATGAGTATGTTATGTCTGCGAGGTGTATTCATATGATTTGGAAACGGTGAGAAGGGTCTGCTGGAGGATAGAAGACTATTAGGTATTTGATTTTCATCTTGATTCGAGGTATAGCCTTGAGTTATGGGTGTGTGAAGAATCTTTTCATGTCTCCTAGTTGGGAGTGAAGTAAATTTCACGTTGCGGTATGAGTTCAGACTTAGGAAGACTAAGTGACTGCGTAATGTTTATGGCGGTGGAAGGTATGCAGAAATGTTTGTTGGAGGCAAAACAGGTGGGTTATCTCCTGCGGACTGTTCTAAGGTTATGTGATCCTTATGTTGTCGGTTAGAAGATCTCATTTACAAGTGAAATATATGTGTTGAAATTTAAATTTGGGTCGCTTAAGAGAGTGGGATTGACTGTGGTGAGGATTAATACGGGATTTGTAGAAGATTTAAAGTACTAGATGATCTGTGTTTCACAAGCTTACGAAGGATTGAGTTTAATCTCACTATGGTATTATGGTAGTAATAGATTATACGCATTATGAGTTATTGTGTCATTTGATCTATGGCTTTGGGCCAAGTGGGGGAGTCTGCTATTGATTAGTTGATTGCACATTTATGTGCTATGTTGGTTCTAGTTTGAGGCGAATGGGTGAATCAGTTATGGCTTACGGAGATTGAGACCGAGGATGGCTCGAGTAGAGGAAAATTTTAGGCGAAGGTTATGTCATGCTTCATAAGTGTATGAGAATCGCGGAATGTCTTGAGAATCGCGGAATGTCTTGGTAAGGGTATGCGGTGCATAGAATAGATAGTTGAGTGTTGAGTGTGTTGTGCATCGCGTTCGCGAGAGGGGTCTCGCGTTTGCGTAGAAGGAATTCCGGTCTATGAAGCAGTGTGCTTTGCGAACGCGAGGGATGTGCCGCGTTCGCGATGAAGGAAAATCTGGGCAGACAGTTTATATTTTTAAATCGAGGGTTTAAGTCCAATTTCATAAAAACCATT